ACTGCGCCATCAGGGAAGCCCATAGACTTTCTTTTCTTAGAGCAGTTTTAGGTTCACAGCAAAATTGAGGGCAAAGTACAGAGTTCCCACGCACCCCCTTACCCGCTCCCCTGGCCAGCACAGCACACAACCTTCCCCTCTATCAACCTCGCCACCAAAGTGGTCCATTTGTTACAGCCTGTATCAGTTAGGAACCTACAAGGACACATCATGATTACCCACAGTCCATAGTTTGTTAGGGTTCACTCTTGGTGTACATTTTATGGGTTTGGGCAAATATAGAATGGCATGTATCAATGATTATAGTATCATACAGAATAGTTTCAGGGTCCTAAAAATCTTCCATGCTCTGCCTATTTATCCCTCCCTCCTCCTTAACTGTAACATTTTGAAGTAAAATATTGCCTTTCTCATCCTTCTCCCACCTGCTACTGACTCACCAACAGGCCTCCTGACTCCCAGTGTTCCCCTGGGTGTGTCTTCCTGTTCGAGCCCCCCTCGGGCAGGCGCTCCCCCCAGGGTTCCCAACCCCCGGCCACCCTCAGAGTGGCCTGATTCACAGGAAGGGAGGAATGACTAACAGCCCCCCAGTGGAGCTGAGGTATTTCCGTTTTGAGAAAGGGTGCTGACTGACCCCCTCCACCTCTTGAATAGCTACACTCTCAGGAGGTACCAGAAAGGGACGTGAGGTGGACCACGACCCACCAGACACGTCTCCCCGGGGTTTCTTCTGCTTCTTCCTCTTTCTCCCTTCCTTCCCTTCAGAGCAGACACATGCGAGTACAATTCCTAGATCTGTTCTCTCAAAATGGTTCTCGTGGCAGCAACGCCTGGGCCAGAATGTGTGGAGATGGCCGAGTGGGACACCGGTGTTTGCAATTTAGAGTTTGCGCCTAGATTAGTTAAATCCTCAGAGAGAGACATTTTAGTCCTTCACTTTGCAGGTGCCCAATTTGTGTCTACTGATTTCATCTTCTTTGTAGCTACAATATTAGCAAGTACCCTCAGCCCTTCTAGGATGTCCAATAAACGCTCCCAGCAGCATCTAAAAACTGGGTGTAAAATCACTTTTCGTAACAAGACAAATCATCTGATAACCGAAGACAAGGATTAGTGAGAGACTTGGCTGCACCTCCAACTGCCTTTCCTCGATGCAGTCCCCCATCTTTGCGCAGATAAAGATTATGGTTGCCAAGGAAACAGGACCAGAGAGAGAAAGATAGAAACTTTGTCTCATTTGGTTTTCCCCGGATTCACAAAGCAAGCTGGGTTGTAAGCGGAGCTGGATGAGATTATGGTAGATTTGTAATTTACTTAGTCAAATTGCTTTTAATTCCTAGTCATGCCTTAATGTACACTTTTTTTTCCCTCTGAAAGTTAGGTCTTGCACTTAGCAGTCCAAGGTCGGACAAATAACAGAGCTTTAAAATTCATTGTCTATGATTAAACTCAAATACAGGACAGATGGCTTGTCTAAGTATGTGTCAGACAGGCAAAGCCCTTAAGATTTGTGACAGGCAAGACCAGGAATTAACTGCTAAGTTTTTGCATTTATTCATACATTCATGTGCACCATGAATACAACGATAAAACTCACTTCAGTGTTCTGACTTTACTCAAAATATTCCCAAAGCCACTGCTCTCCGTTTGGCAAACCAGATGCCCTAATCTCAACCCCATTAGCTCAAAATCCATTTTTCTCATACTATATGTATTGTGTACATTTCATCTTACTCTGACATTCAGGATGAAAATAACATCCCTTTGAAAGCCCAGCTTGCCCAGAACCCAAAATGTTGGTTCCCACCTCATTTTTATGAACCTTTTTGTTGAAATATTTAATTTTTTTATTGAACAAACATTTGCCTGTCAAAATAAACAAAAACCGACCAAATGAGAACAGGCAAAGGCTATTTATTTAGAGCTTGCTATAGCAGGGGAGTCAGCCACTGTCACTTGGTTTTGGCAGAGACTCAAAGGCAGGCTCAGAAGTGGGAAAGCTGTGTAAGTGGAAAAAAGGGAAGGTTTCACATATGCCCTGATTGAAGGCGAGTGGCCTAGGGAAGCTGGAAGCAGGCTAACTAGGTACCCTATGTGATAGTTAGGGGGGCATATCTGATCTTTTTCTGCTTGGTCCCAAGTTGGAAGCAGTAACAAAAATTAAGGAAGCTGGAAGTTATTAATCAAGTCCTGGCTGTTTGGGGCCAATCGTTAACACGGTTATTGTTTGGCTTCCGGAACCAGTTGCTAGAGATAGTAATCTGACTTCCGGCAAGTCTGATTTGCAGATTGCAGGCTGACATCCTGGGCTGGTTACCGCAGATAATGGGGTTGGTTTCCTGCGCTGGTTGCTGCAGACTGTGGGTCAGAGTTCTATTTTTATTATGCTCTGGCCATTGTCCATTTGTATATTCAATCTCTCAGGCAATAAACATTGTATGAACAAAAAAGTACAGTGAGCCTAAGTGTACAGCTTAATGAATGATCAAGTATAACAACCACCCAGGGCCCCCATTTATTTTAAAATTCTCCTCAATCAGAATCTTAGAAGCCTGTTGTCAAGAAACACTGTGAGTTGGAGGGCAGATTCTTTCCCTGTGCTTCTTTAGTCCTGGTGTCCAGGGGTGGGACTCACCAGCTGCAACCTTCTCGGCCCGTGTCACAAAGTCAAGTCTTCCCAGACACAACGGACATGGGCAGCCCTGGGTTTCCCACAATCAGGCTCAGCCCCATGAATCACCGTTCTCCACATTCCTGGACAGGTCAGAGAGTGTGCCTTGAAATCCAGGCTTCACCACTCCCTTGGGCAAGTTAATCTCTCCAAACCTGTTTCTTAATCTATCAAATTGGGGTAATAATTGTGCCTGTTCTCAAGACCTCCCTGGAAGTCCAGTGGTTAAGACTCCGTGCTCCCACTGCAGGGGGCATGGATTCGACCCCTGGGGGGGGAATTAATATCCCACACAGTGTGGCCAAGAAAAAAAAATAGTGCCTGTTCTCATTGGATTGCTGTAAGGATCAATTAAGGCGATGGACATACAAACTTTTAACACAATTCCTCACACAGAATAAGCACTCAGATTTTGATTTATTGGATGTTTAGCACGTCTAAAAATGACAGCTGAAAATTAGTGAGAAACTACTATGTGCCAGGCACTGGGCTTGGTGCTTAAATGTATATTATTAAATGTTTCTATTAGAGAATATTAATCATCCTTATTTTATAGAGGAAGGAGCTGAGGCTTACAGATGTTAAGAAACCTCTCGGTACTTACCTGCATTTTTTGTGAGAATTAAAAGAGATGAAGGACACATGTCCTTAGTGCAGTCCCAGCACATCGTAATCACTCAATCACCGGGGCTATTGTTTAAGCTGACCCTTGGATTATCCACTGTGACAGACCCTAGGCAGCAATGTCTGTTCTCCCTTTCACCCTTGCCAACAAAAATCACCTTTTGTGTGAGGCAGCATCATGCCTCCATAAAAGTACTCCTCTTATCAGGCTCCCTTGCTTCTTCGGAAGTTCATGAGACCCAATTCTGGCCAATGAGAGATAAGTGTAAGTCTCCTAGGTGGGCCTTTTGGGAAAACTATTATTGTCCCAAGAAAAAGTAAGGTTCATCTGACACATACTTCCTCCCCCTTTGTCCCCATCTTTGCTGCCTAGAAAGCACATGGAATGCCATGAGGTACAGCTGCCATCCTGTAAGCGTGAGGACTAAAGGCCCATGCCCAGGATGCCAAGGCAGAAAGAAGAGCTGCAGACCCCTGATGACCTTGTAGGGATACTGTCCCAGCCGTAGACTGCCAGCCTCCAAAGGGTTTCACCACTGTGGTTAAACCACCATGGCCAGGTTTCTATTACATGCAGCTGAAGGCAATCCAAACGAATACAGCCACTGCTTGGGGTGACATGAATCTCTGAATGAACTGAAATTTCCAAACAACTGAAAATCAGGAATTTGAAGTATCTTCTTTTAATCTGTCTACACATCCCAACTGAGATGATAAAGAAAAAAAACTCCCGAGAATGAAAAGTCGGTTCCCAATCATCTCTACGTGAATTATTCTCAACCCTTCTGAGGACTGGTGTCATATATGGTGTCATCAACAGGGTTTCCATGGGTCATCAGCACCGTGCACCAAGGTGTCTGAGGACTCTTGTCAGAGTCATTTATTCTCAAAGCTTGGCTCTAGACCAGCCTCACCCAGCACAGAACTGAATGATGCTTCTGTAAAACCTGAGGCATCTGCTCTGGCATCTTGGTCAAAGTCCAAGGGCGGTAATTGTATTCTGCCTACTTGTGAGATCTCCTAGATTTCTAATTAGGTAGTATTTATGTTCTCTCCAAAAAAGCTTATGCCCAATGTTGCTCTGCCCATTAAAACAACAAGGGGTCCACCCTAAGTGATAAAGGAGCATCTCATTGTGACACGAAGCCGTCATGAGATGGAAGCAGGAGGCTTCCTCTGGCTTTACAATGAACCAGCTGGGATGGCGGCTTTCCACTTGGAAGAAGCTAAGTATACCAGAGGGGTTAAACTTGTGGTTTTCTGTGCCATTTCAGAGAAATAATATGCACATATTTCCACTCACTTGAAATGATTCTAAGGTCATGTCAGATGAAAAGAGGATTGAACTACAGCCCCTTCTCTCACAGCTTTCCTATCAAAATATATCCCACATGATGAGTATAGAAACTAAATTCCTTCTATATACTAAGTATGCTGTCTCATCATTGCATGGTACATGACTTTATATTCTAAGCTATCAATAACCCTAACTGAGGTAGTTTTGGTTTGCTTAAATATTCTAAAAGGTCAAAAATTTTAATTATTTAATGTGCAAAATTGCTTTCATAAATGGACGTAACTAAATGGTGAAATAGAAGACATCCAAAAAAATTTGAAATGATCCTCTTTTGGATTAAACTAGAAAAAGCACAAGTTTTCAATGCCTAAAATTATGTTGTATTCAAATAAAGACCCATATTCACGATGAAGAGAAAATCTCTAATAATTTATTTGACCTTCAGTTTCACATTGTGAAAAAAAAATAACAGTTTTACAAAACCTCAAAAATGTAGTAGCGAACAAGTACATATGAACACGAACACTTTACTTCTTCAACTTATACAGTTTTGTATGTGAACCACATATTCAATGGTCAAGAGAGGGATATTATTCAGCTCTAATCATTCTTATTCAGACAGGTGTCAAGCCCAGAGAAAAGGGGGCTACACAATTATACCAGAAGTGGAAGGCTGCCCTTTGTTATCCGTTTCCACAGCAACCAGTCCACAGAATAAGAAGAACCTTCTCTGTCTTATGCCAAGGTTTTTGTGTGCACTGTGCTGTGAATTGTATTTGCTTCAAAGTGTAGGACGTTTCACAGGGTGAGAATGGTCAAGTAGTGAGCCCAAATGCCTCCATCAATTCAAAGAGTGGGGAGTCCAGAAAGTTCCCTGCAGGCTGGGGGCCCACCCTGACCACAGCTCCCTCTGGCTCACACACAGCAATTAATAGAGAATTCAAGGACAGACCACAACTTTGAAACAACTGCAAAAAATTCACCCTGCTTTCAAAAGCCACGCAGTGACACCCACATGTTGGCAGATTTGCATCATAAACTACGGAGCTGTAACTGCTACAATATACTGCCAGGGTACAATCAGACGTTTGCATTGTTTAGAACAGGGGTCCCCAACCCCCGGGCCGTGGACTGGTATCGGTCCTAGGCCCATTAAGAACCGGGCCGCACAGCAGGAGGTGAGCGGAGGGCAAGCGAGTGAAGCTTCATCTGTGGCTCCCCGCCGCTCCCCACTGCTCGCATTACCTCCTGAACCGCTCCCCACGCCTCCCACCCCGGTCCGTGGAAAAACTGTCTTCCACGAAACCGGTCCCTGGTGCCAAAAAGGTTGGGGACCGCTGCATTAGAACACATCTAGAAGCGAGGGGCTGACTACCGCAAAGTATTGAGACCCTTTGATTCCAACCGTTCATTTATTTTGGTCCAACTATAACCCACTTACTCACGGCACGAACAGACATGTACAGTTAGTCTAATATATTCAGGCGGACAGAAATGTGAAGGATTCATCTGTCATTAGACAATGCAAACACACTATGTCAAAGGTTATTGGTCTTAAACCCTATTTTCTAAAATACGGTAATGAGAGAAACAGCAATGAAAGCAGTGCGAATTGCAAATTCTGAGCTTCCCCGGACACCTGTGAGGAAGCACCTATGAGTCTACCACTAATAACTACCACGGCACGTGTTTAGGAAACAAGCACTTGAACTAGCAAAGAACGTATTCACAACTGATTCCCAACTCTCCCAGAAAGCCTCTCAGCAAGGGCCACTGCTTACAATTCTTTGGTGTTTGGGGGCCATATGTGTCACTTTTGTGCACCAAAGAGTTCTTTTAGAGACTTACCTAAGAGGGAGCGCTAAAGTATACATTGTACCCATGTGAATATTGCCTTGGAGAACTTTTAGCACTTGCTAAACCCTACAGCAGGAAGAGAGAAGGACCCATCCAGGTCAAGTAAATCCGGTGAGTGAATTAATTTCCATCGGTGAGTGTTCCGTTTTCTCCTGTTAACTGTGGTTATGGCCAAGCATTCTCATAGGGTAATAAATAGATAAATAAATAAACTTTGGACAATGCCTTTACCTGTGCCCTATATACAGAACTAGTCTATAGCATTTTCCAGGATTTCAGGATATTACACAGAGGAGAAAAACAACAACAACAAAAAAAAACAACTGCCAAGCGATTTGGTCCTTTTTCCAAATTTCAGTAGCTGAGATTGAAGCAAGTGAATCGGACAGGAAGGAGAAGGGCAGAAAGAAGCCTTCTCTTGCCCCAGGAGCCATTGGCAGGACCACAGCCCACAAAACCCCAGTCAAAGTTGATGAGTCTGAGAAAAATGACCTTCATGCTTTCTCTACCTCTAGGATGTAACTTAAGTTTCTGTCTTGTAATCCTTCCCTGTCTTGACATTTACAAAATCCCACCCCCCACCCTTCCCAACCCACCCTCCAGTTATATTCCTAATTGTAACTCCAAAGTTTTCACTTTTGTGCAGCAGAGCACGTCATAACAGCCACAAAATTGTGCAAAACGTACAACCGTTCACACGCGTCCATACACGTGAAGACAGCTGTAAGCATTGTTTCAGCATGCAGGCCTCAAACAATAAATAGCTAAATCTACAACAAATTTCTTACCAGCCAAGGGAAAGTTTAAAGTCACTTATAAATAGAAAAGAACATCTACCAAACAGCTACAACAATGTCCCCATTGTTCAGAAACGTTCCTGGGGAGCACAGCCCCTCGGAGATTATCGTGGAGTCCACTGGTCCTCACTCTGCAGCCAGCCCAGCAAGCGTCCCTCCAGGCCCCCCCAGTCGGGCTTTCAATCTCCAACAGCAGCTGGTGTGGAGGCTTCAAGCTTGCTCCTCAGAGAGAGGTGACAACCATTTCAAATTTTACACATAAATGGTGGAACCCATGGAAATCAAATGCTGAACATGGTACAGCAAGGGAAAAGGGCCGGCTTTTCTCTCCCTTTGAGGGGCTGATTAATGCTGACATTAATCCACAATTACAAGACAAGGACTAGATCACAGGTTCGTTCATTCATATTTAAACCATGTGCCTCTTGCACTGAAAACCCCACCCCCCCTCCCCCCCCCCCCTTCCTTCAAGTCCAGTTAGAAGCATTTACAAGGTGTGGTGGATTGGACTGTAGCAACTTCTTTTCCTTTTTCTTTTCTTTCTCTTCATTCAGCTTGGCCTCTCCAAAGTAGAGATCCCATCTTGTCTCATTGAGGGATGGAGTCAGCTAAACTAGAGGAAAAGGAAAATTTTTTCTTAGTCTCAAAATCTGAAAAAAAAAATTAAACTTGGGACAGAGTAGGTCAACATGGCTTCCAAAGGTCTTAATTACATTCGGTAGGTGCATTCATGCATGCAGATGGCCCAACAAAAACCGTGGTATCCGAAGAAAGATCTTTGCTTCTTTCCTAAACATATATACGTTTAAAATTCAAACCTATACATCTAGGTGCTGTTACGAGTTGCCTTCTTCTGCTTCCGACATTCATAATTCCTCTCCACAGTTAAACAGAGCCACTGTAAAGTGATCACCAGAGGGTCACAAGAGATTCCTTGGCCAATCCCCTCCCTGCACCCCCCCACGCCCGCCTTGGACCCATTTACCATAAAGGATTCCAAATTAAATTTATTCACCATATAGAAGGCAGACATATTAATCCTCTTATTTAAATGCATCTCTGCTATTCATTACGGCAGAAATCAGTCTCGCTTTCTTTCACATGACAGCATACCAGGCCTCACCAGCCCAGGGCTGGAGTTTATTCTCCAAGTTCATCAGTCCACACTTAGGAGACTCGGGCTGTGGTATGCAGTGTTATTATCTACAGAATCAACCGCCATCAAATGTGAATATAAATTCAAGGTGCCATAACCACGAAGCCTGCACATTTCATAGGAGCTGCTGTTTCCCCACACCACCCATCCTTCCCGTTTAGTTAAGTCTAATTTTACAGAAGGAGACTTTGCAGAGGGCTTTCGTCTTTCAAATGCTCACCCTATCTGTTCTTGGGGCCCATTTCCAGCCCTAGCATAAGAGTCTGCAGCCCCAGTGCTGAAACTCGAAGTACAGACAGAGGGAATTCAGGAGGGGCGCTCATCCCTTGCACTGACTTCTTGCTCCTGTGTGTCCGGAAGTCTGATCCATTTCATTAGTTGTTTCTTTTGGCAGTTTCGAAACGGTGATTCAAGCTTTCAAGACATTCCTTAGACTACGGGTGTCATCGCCCACCCTCACCTCCTTGAAACCTCTACAGCAACATGAGGCCTAAAGAATGTATCTTGTGATAATATGAAATGTCAAGAGATTGCATACTCAAACAGAAAAACAAAAAACCCCAAAACAAAACCACCACTAAAAAGGGGGGCCGGGAACAAAAGCAAACCAAAATCCAAACGCCGTCAAGTTGGGGGCCACACAGCACCATGAAAATGGAGCGAAATCAGAAGTAATTTCCTCTTTGTCCCTTCCCGGCAGCTGGGAGCAGCTGGAGAGAGTTAAAATCTCCTTGGTGGATAAGCTTTTAGACCTAGGGAAACTTTTTGTTAACACTGTATTAATTCGGGTAGCACCTACATGTGGAGGGCGAAGCCAGGTCCCGGAAGCGTCTGCAGCTCAGGACTGATACCTACACGGCACCTCTTTTAAGTCACTCCATCCGGCTCAAGTGTTTTAACACTATCTTGTGTGTAGTAAACTTTAGAAATTTAAACCAACATTCTCTCCGTCGGAAGCTCCAACAGTGGCTTTGATCAGCCCCACGCCACCCTTTGTCGAATTTCCTTATTCTGTGCTTGACTCTCTGGCTAAGAGCACCAAGGGCAGAGGGGATGTTGTTTCGAATATAACCGAACACTTTATTTGTTCCATTTCCCAGGGACCGGACATGTGTGATTAAGTTCAAATACCCAGGAGAGGGTGAACTCGAGTGTTTGCCAACATACTCACTCTGGGCTGAGAAAGGAGGTACCAAAAATGAAGATAACAAGCTGATAATAGTCAAGGAAACCTCATTTTCGCATGACACACAAAGCTAATCCCACTGCGAGCTAAGGTCTAAATTGAAGGGAGGAAAGAAAACTAATACGAGTATTGAACACTTAATATGTACCAGGCACTGGCTAGGTATTCTCACGCCTTTCTTTTCTTTTTCCTCATTTATCAATTCACCCAAGTCTGAACTGGGACAGATCTTAAGGAAAGCACAATTCGAATCACTCATTTGACAAAGGATCTCTGAAGTGCAGAGAGGTCCAGACTCCACAGCTAGAAACAGAATGTACATGTGGTCTCTCTACCTATATGACATATAGGATGCCAGCCACTTCCAAGGATGCCAGCCAGTTACCATTTGGATGTACCGCCACCATCACTGGCAATTTTTAAGGCTCTCCTATGCAAATATAGTCAGTTTTGGACTAACACCCAATTTAGTGCACTGCTAATTGATGCTTTTGCCTAGAAGGTCCTTTAAGCCTTCTTTAGAGTTGAGTAATGCATTCATATCGCAAATGAAATAACCCCTTTCAGAGCATTTGTTTATTCAGGATTATTGAGATGCCAGCAAGGCTGCAAAAACCAGTTTGTAGCCCCATTTGCTCCCCAGAGGACGGTTCTGACAGTTCCTGCTCCTTTGAAGGAGTCTCAGTCCAGGAAAACATTACATTACTAAGAACTGTACTACCTGTAGTGGGCTGGAGGAGATAACTGAAGCAGTGAAAGAAACAGAACGATTACATGTGGAAGGGAGGCCAGTTTTACTGGTGTTTCTAAATGAGCTGTAAGAGATGAGGAAAGAAAAGACAAATGAGTCCAAACCCTTCTTCGCAAGAAGGTCCCCTTCAAAGGTGTGAAACATACTAGGGAACACAGAACCAAACCTTTCCAGGGAAGGAGTTCATTTTCCCAGCAGTTCCTCCAAAGCAGATTTTTAAATTTTATTCTCTTATTATTAGTAATGAGCCCATTAGTCACCAAAACAAATCAATCCACTCCATGTGTTCCGTACTACACTTAGATACGCTTAAGTGATTCCGGGGCCAATCCTGAGAATGCTTTATTTTAACAGCAGCAAAGCGGCCATTAGCTTCCCGAACCCTGAACTGTGTAGGCCTATTAATTATTTGAGCCAAGAGTATTATATACTCTTAAGTACACAAGACAACCATTATGTACCCAGATATATGACAGAGAAACACAACCTTTGTTCGCCCTGACAATGGGGTCAGCTTGACTGATTAACTCTGAAAAGCTGCAGGAAGGGCAGTTTAGATGGCTCAGTGTGTCCATACATCAGACAAGCTTATGCAATGCAGGTGCAACCTTTTATAAGGACAGACCTAGACTTCTCAAAAGTTAATAAATGCCCTAAAGGGGGCTATTTTTGGGGGCGGGGGGGAAGAAGGAAAAACCTTTAAAATAAGCTAATGAATAATTCTGGACAGAAAACAATGGGAATAATTTTCAGCATTCAATTTTTTAAACCCCACTTCATTCTAAAAAGGGTTTGAGGAAGTTAAATTTAAAAATCTACAATTATTTCCTGGGGTGATAACAATGTGAGGTTTATTAAGTTTAGCCATTCGGAGTGAGCTCAAGTGCTTATGCTCCAGAGCCAGACTGCCTGGGCTGATGTCTTGACCAACCCTTCCGCCTGCTAAGCCCTATGACCTTGAGCAACTTACTTAACCCCTGTGTACATCAGGTGTTTTCATCTATGAAGTGCTCTCATAATAATATCCCACAGGATTGTTGTAGGGACCAAATGAAATGATCCATGGGAAACACACAGCCCAGCTGCCGGCACACAGGGAGGGCTCGGGAGACAAGGTTCCCAACCTGGCCGTCATTAGAATCACTGAAGAACTTTCTAAAAATGCTAATGCCTGGGTCCCACCCAGACCTAATGAAACCCAGCCTCTGGAGTGGGCAGGTTTCAAAAAGCTCTTTGGGAGACTCTGAGGCCCAATAAAGGCTGAGAACCACTGCCTTATGTTTGGGGGGGTTGCAGCTGTGGTCAACACAAGTGTTTAAGTTCCGGGGTACAAGTGCTCTTATTTGTAGTTCATGTGGAACCTCTCTGTAAGATGCGCTATATGGAGCCTGTTTCACTCATGTACGGGCTTACACAGCCAGCTCAACTATACGGATACTTACAGCTAAACTGACTCTTACCTTACGCTCACTCTCTTTAGGATGCATTGTGTTTAAGAGGGCAGATGTTTCCAGGTGCTGACAAACGCAGTAGGGATCAGCGAGTACGGGACCGTGGTTATGCTGTTCCACGCGTCCAACGTTGGATCGTAGCAGTCCAGAGTTTTGCATCGCTGAATGCCAAAGTACCCTCCAACCACGTAGAGTTTGTTTCCGGAGGCCACAGCGTGGCAGCTCATCCGCTTTGCTGTCACGTCTCCCACCTTGGTCCACTGGTAAGTCTCGCTATTGAATTTATAAGCAGAGCAGGCGGAGAACTCGGTATCTCCCCCCATAATAAAAATCTGGTTACCCAGCACAGCTGCCGCCGTGTAACGCCAGGGCTGGGGACAGGTGGCCGGGACCGTCCACCTGTTTTCACACTGATCGTAACACTGAACCTTGGGGAGCTTGTCATGACTGACGCTGGTACCTCCGAAAGCAAACAGCTTGAGCTTGGCACTCACCACTGCGGCATTGCTGACCCCTTCTCGGAGAGGGGCCACCATGGTCCATTTGTTGGTTGTGGGGTCATAATGTTCTACTTGCTTTAGAGAGACAGAGGGGGAGGCCGGGAGGCAGCCAGTGGCGGCAGTGTGCCCGCCGACCACGTACAGGCAGTGCTTCAGTTCAGCAGAGCCATGGCCAAACCTGGCCACCAGCATGGGGGCCGCCTTGGACCACTCCTCATGCAGGGTATCATAAACCCAGACATCTTTCGAGACTCCATTCTCAGACCCTCGCCCCCCGGTAATGTATACTTTGCAGCCAATTGCACAGGCACTGAACTCTTTTCTTGGGCTGGGGATGTCGGCCTTGGGAATGATCTCTTTGGCCTTCTGGTCGACCAGATACAGCTTGTCACACATGAAAGTCTGTCCTCCCAAGAGGAAGAGGGCATGGCCGGTTTTCCGGGGCCGGGCACAGAGGCTGGTCACCACGCCGTCGTTCTGCAGGATTTTCAGCTTGCACCTGATGGCCTCTTCCACGATCTCCTTGCTCTTCCTCTGCTTAGTGATGAGCTCCTCCATGGCCACATTCTCCATGAGATAGATGGCCGGCAGCAGAGCCAGCCTCACCGTCTGCAACAGCTCCGGGAGATAGCAGTAGCGCTTCTTCAGGTCGTAGCTGATCCAGTTAATTGCAGACTCGTACACAAGTCTTTCGTCTTCCGTCTCCAGCTCTTCACTGGACAGGAGCTGCACTACCATGTCCTGAGGCAGCTGGAGGAAATCTTCGTTCTTCCTGATGGTCTGGAAATTGCTGAGACACATCCTCCAGGAGAGCTCGTACAGCTTGGTGCACTGGTGCGCGTCGGACAGCAGCAGCATGCCCAGGCAGTTGGTGGGGTGCAGGTTCTTTTCTAGGAACTCAGCGCAGGCATCCCGGATGTCTTGAAACTCCAGCATGTCGCCAGCTTCCAGGAGCGATTCTGCGTTTTCTTCATTGATGATGACCCGGGAGGAGTAAGCGTAGTCGAGGAGCAGCTCCAAGACTTCCGGGTGGATGGAGTTGTCGAAGTTGACTTCGCTGTCCTGGCTCTCCTTCAGGCCGCCGCTGAACATGGCTTCAAAGTAGCGGCTGCACGCGGCCAGCACTGCCCGGTGACACGGGAAGGTCCTATTTCCAGCATGGAGAAGGACGTCGGTGAAGAGACGCTGCTGGCGTAACAGGTTCAGGTGAGTGAGGACACTGTCCGCGTAGGAGGACTTGTGGAACAGATAGATGTTAATGGAGCCACTGCTGGCCCTGGACTTGCGGTTCTCGTGCACGCTGACGGACATTTTGTTTCCACTCCTGAAAAACAAAACACAACTATTGAACCTGATGCTCTCAGTGTTCAGAACGGCCGAACCAAACCAGCAATTGTTTTGGACAGAGGAAACAGAACACTTCGCTGTTGGCCCTGCCACCCTACTGTTCTGAATAATGGACAGTCAGGCCTATACAAAGTCAGAGACGGCTACCTACCTATAAGGAAAGACACTTATTATAATACTGTTGAGCTATTTAAACTATACACGGTTTAAAAAAAAAACAACAATCACTGCTTAAGAGCAGGTTCATCTTGGAAAACCTGATTGCCAACTTGCAGGATATTGAAGTCCTTGAGAATGTAAGTCAGCAAAAGCCAAGAGGAGCAAGGTCTCATTCTCACAGCTCCCTGCCCTGGTCCAGCTGATTCACTGCTGGCCACTTGAAATGCCAGGCCTCCAGCTCTCGTAACGCTGGGATGTGCACAGGCTTTAATGCCCTATGCAAGCATCATAAAGCCATGTGTAAAACAAATACCTACTAATTAATTCCATCAAGAATTCCTTTGGTAAGACCCAGTGTCTTACCAAAGTGTAAGTGCAGTAAATGGGAAATGTAACATTAAAACCACAGGCTTAGGCCAACTTCTAAAATGACCAAACCTTTATTTATCATTACAAATAATTTGTGACCAGACACCTCTACCACTACAGCATCCTGAAAGAGCCCCAATATAAACACAACCATATACTGATCAGCAAGCTATCGTGGAAACAGGATAGATTCTGGCCACAGTCACCACTCCCCTTTCCTGCTCCGGACAGCTTCCAAAGTGGCGATTCGGGCACAGAAAAGGAAGAATATTTTGAGTAGCAAAGTCAGGAGTTCTGTTGTTCTGTTCTCCCTGCTTTAAATCAAATCTTAGAAAACCAGTTGCAAGAACAAAGGATGTATCCACCCATCTCTCTTGATTAAACAGGGCATCACCAGGACCATTCTTGTGTACCTGCAAACGGTGGCACCTGCATCTAGGGAGTCCAAAATGCAAATGTCGCTTTATCTAAATCAAAACACACACGTGTGTGTGTATGTGTGTTGCCTGCCATTGTTAATTTAGGGCCACTCTAGAATTTATTTGCTGACTAGAGTGTTTTCCTCAGTATCTAAACGGAAATTATAGCAGAATCGAATGCTCTCTTTGGCTTTCCTCAGTAATCAAACTGTAGGCTAAAGATACAGGACATGCCTATCACCTATCTTCAAAAACTGAACCATCTTTTTCCTTTTTCACCCTACCCTTCTGTTACTTCAAAGAAATAATAGCTTCAAGAACCTGCCTGTCAAAGGATTCCTAGGGAAACTGTTTATCCCAGGAGGGTAAACTGCGTGGTTACAGTATCTGTTCCAAACACGGAACAGCCAGTCCTTATGGCAGAGCTGAAACCCAAGGCCTGCTTGTTTCCTTCAACCTGAGCAGCGGAGGCAAGGCAGGCGCAGAAAACAACAGAGGCAGGTACCTAACTTGCCTTTGACACACAGGCCTCATACTATTAGGAGTTGCAACTTGTTTTCTTTCATTTTGGGCATGTAACTTTTCACTGTGAGTAAACGTGACTTAGTGGAAGAAAATAGAGTCCTAGGGCTCTGGTGTTAAGAAGCCTTTATGAAACACCCATCAGTCTCCACAGTGACTTGGGCTTTGACAAATGGTGAGAAGGCAAGCATCACCGCAACCCTCAAGCTAAGCCTCTATGGTCTAGTCCATTTTACCCAATGCCCAATGCTCCTAAGAGCAAGTGACAGGACCCTATGTGAATACACTAGGCTCTCCAATGTGTTAAAACAGTATTAGCATCCCTGCTGTTCTACTGCTGTAGTCATCATTTGCATTAGTACATTCAAGCTGAAATTCTTTGAGAAAGATTTTAAGCCTAAACCTCAAAAGATGGTATAAATATTCCTATGCCTTATACAGAAAGGTGCAAGAATTCCAAACGAGTAGCTATGCTTTTTTTTTTTTAAGCTAATGCTTCCAAAGCAACCTCAAAAGCTGCCTCCTGTGGATGGACCTAGAGATTATCATACAAGGTAAGTCAGACAGGGAAAGACAAATATCATACGGTATTGCTTATATGTGGAACCTAAAAAAAGATACAAATGAACTTATTTACAAAACAGAAATAGACTCACAGACAAAACAAACGTATGGTTACCAAAGGGGAAAGGGGGAAGAGGGATAAATTAGGAGTTTGGGATTGAAATATACACACTACTATATATAAAATAGATAACCAACAAGGATCTACTGTATAGCACAGGGAAATATACTCAATGTCTTGTAATAACCTATAATGGAAAAGAATCTAAAAAAGTATATATATATTATATATATATAATATATATATATAATGAATCACTTTGCTGTACACCTGAAACTAACAGCATTGTAAACCAACTATACTTCAATTAAAAAACAACAAAAAAAGGGCTTCCCTGGTGGTGCAGTGGTTAAGAATCCACCTGCCAATGCAGGGGACAGGGGTTCAAGCCCTGGTCCGGGAAGATCCCACATGCCACGGAGCAACTAAGCCTGTGCGCCACAACTACTGAGCCCGTGTGCCACAACTACTGAAGCCCACGCGCCTAGAGCCCATGCTCCGGAACAAGAGAAGCCACCGCAATGAGAAGCCCGCGCATCGCAACGAAGAGTAGCCCCCGCTCACAGCAACCAGAGAAAGCCTGCGCACAGCAATGAAGACCCAACGCAGCCAAAAATAAATTAATTAATTAATTAATTTTAAAAAGTTGCCTTCTTTCCGGCTAACAGTGAATGCAGCTCTGACAGAATAATGAGGCTGCACAAGGTACATAAGCACCAAAGTGCCTGCAGACTGAGCTGGAATTACACCCACCCGGCCCGGAAGGCGTTTCCCTAAGCAGTGTAAAACAACACTCACAGCCAGGCTTACACTTAACAAAACAGTTTAGAAGACCTTGGGATATAGGATCTGCATCTCTTTGCATCCTGTGTTTATGCTCCTGTATTTCCCAGGTAGGTTCATAAAGCCAGCAGAAAGAGCCTAGCCTGTCACCTTGGATGCCACCCAGATGGAGAAGTGTGTCAGTCAAAATCCAACAATCTTGCAGCAATATTTGATTAAAATAAAAGGCAAACTTGAAGACCCAAGGGAAACGACTTGCCTTCTAGTTTAAAATTATGCAGATGTGAGAACATCAGCAGAAACCACGTATACAGCCACTAAACACACCTTCAACATGAAATGAATCATCCTTCTGGCATTTTATTAAGCCCCCAGAGAAATAATATTTGCATGCCAAGTTAAGTGGCAAAAAAACGCACACATATACTTAACCTGCCTCTACAAAGAAGGGGAAAGGGGCTGCTATTACCAGTGAACATCAAAAGGGATTCTAGCTACAGTAACTTCAGTTCACTTAATGCTCTTTAACCAGGCTCTGGGCCTCCAATACTTAGCGGCGTGTCACATTTCTTTGGGTTTTAAACCTGATCTCAATGCAATCAAAGGAGAAACTAGGCAGATTTTCTCGGACATTCATATTATTGATAACAACGGAACATTATAAAGAGATTGTTAACAAGAAAAGCATTTTACTATACCGTCCTCTATAACACCTGTAATGCTCTTTAACACTCTGGCCATGCCTGTGAGGGCGACACCACACACACGCCAAGTTCAACGGTTCATCTCCACCCTGCCCACCAATTCCTATCCTTCGAAACTAAGCATGGTAAGACTAAATACTTCCATGAGAAAAAACTAATTTTTCAGAAACCAGTTTTCATTCATTCCCTACAGACGTCTGGCCGCAGTGAACGTGCCCTCACTAGGGGCGTCTGCGCGTGGCCCTATTGCTCACCGTGCCGGGTAGGGTGCAACGTGGACCAACAATCCCGCGCGCTCGACAATGCTCTTTCCGCTGGGGGGGGGGGGGGGGGGGGGGGGGGGGGGGGCGGGGGGGATTGATCGTATTCCGGCTCAGCTCCTAGCTCTGCAGCAGCTCGCCCGGGCGGCGCGCCACCGAGAGGAGCCCCCTCCAGCAATGCCCAGCTCTTCTTGCTGTGGGAGGGCAGCGGTGGACACCAGGTCTCCGCCCCGAGAACAGCTCCCCACCGCCGCCTAAGTCGGAGCTCCAGGCTCCGGGGCGCACACACACCCCTTGCGATCACACCCCGCAGGCCAGGTAGCCCCTGAAACCCGCGGCGCCCGCAACAGGTCCGCGGCGGTAGGGGAGACTTACAACAGTGGCGACCAGCCACAGTGCACGACCGGCTGGGTTCTTGCCTCGGTCACCGGGTAGGGAGGGGACGAGCGGACGTCTCAGCCCCAGGAAGCAACAGCGACTGACCGGGCGAAGGGAGCGCGCATGTAACTCTGGCTCGCGGGCTGGTTACCGCGGGCGGATCGCCGCGGCCTCACGATCCCCACGTCGCGGACTCTGCGCCCGCCACCCGCGGAGCAGCTCCCGGAGTGAGCTCCGGAGGCGAGAGCGAGCCCGCGGCTGCAGGCGCCGCTGAAGGAGGCGGGCTGTACCCTCGCGGGAGGGAGCTGGAAAGCGCCTTGCGCGCCGGCGGCCGCCTGGCGTCTCGACTCGGCCTCTGCAGCGCCACCGCCGTGCCGCCTCCTCTCCGGCTTCCCGAGCACTCTGCGCCCGGCCGCCCAGCGCCCGGCTATAAGCGGAGCGGCGGGGAGGGAGGGGAGGGGAGGGGAGGGAGGGGAGAGGGCGCGTAGGCAAAAAGTGACACCAGGGGAGGGAGGGAGGAAGCGCGTGAATGCGACCAGCGGAGAAGAAGGAGGAGGAGGAAGGGAAGGAGGACAAGAGTCGGAGGAGAGTGTGTCGAGGGAGTTAGTCGTGAGAGGAAGCGGGGGAGGGGGCTGTGGCGAGTGGAGAGAGACAAAGCGCACGCGGAATCTCAGCCAAGAGCAGCTGCAACCCTCGGGGATCGCGAATAAAACAAGTTTTCCTGCGTCGGTGTGTCTGCGTCTCTAGCCCAGGCGGGTGCTGAGGGATCATCGGCCGGGGAGTGCAGCCCCTCGCTGTGCGCTCCGAGCTGCAGGAGCCCGCCTGATGCTCAGGACAGGGCGGCGAGGGGCGAGCCGGGTGTCCGCGGCACGCGCCGTGGGCACGCACAGCCCGCGCGCCGGGTGGGATATCTGGAGGGAGGACGGTGGCGAGGTTGGACACTCCGGGGACACCGAAGGTTGGGCAAAGCCGGGCCGTAGGGTTTCTCGGTGGCAGTGGACCAGAAAGACTCGAGCCCCTGGCGCTTCCCGCCCCCTCAGTCCTCCCTCCCCACCTCCGGCGGGTGCTGCACCCGCGGCTGGACTCTGCCCCACGCCGCCCGGGGCAACAGCAGCAACCCGGCGCTCTCCGGCGAGGCGTGCACCACGTGCTTTGCAGCCAATCGCCGCCGCCGCTTTATTCAAAGCGACCCGCTGCTAGGAGCTGCCCAGCCGCCGCCTCTTCGTAGCGATAAAGCGTCAATCGCCCTCTGAGTCTGGGCCCTTTCCTGTCTTTTATCGCCGGGTCGTGTTAGGAGTTCAGCAAAGAAATGGTTCAGCACACACACGTTTGAAGCGCCCTTGTGCCACGAGAAGGGAAGGCGATTAGAAAACTAATCTCGAACGGCGATCACTATTTATGAAGCCCACTTTTGATCTTTGTACCAAGGGCTTGTCTTTCCACTGGGAGCTGAAATGCCTGTTTTTCTTTTTATTGGGTATTTGGAATAAAGTATATGAAGGAACTGTAGAGATTACCGATCCAGCTCCCTCGTTTTACAGGTTAGGAAACTGAGGCCCAGGGAGATGTGAATTGTCCAGCTAGAGGGCACACAGCTACTTGCAGTGGCCCAGCCCTTTAGCTGGAGTGGGGACCCACGACGAAGTTTTCTCTCCCCACTCCACCTCCCAGCTTTCTTTTAAATATTAGATGCAGAAATGGTTTAACAGGCAGAAGAGGCTCTGCCTGGCGCGCCCAGAGCCCAGAGACTGCCGAAACCAAGGCTCTGTCGGTCCTTTAATCCCACTTTCCTTTACACGCGGTCCCTTCTGGTATTCGCGCTGAGAAATTTCGCTCCTTGCAAACAAAGAAAGACAGTGCCCTCTGAAGTCCTTTGTTAGCATTAACTCGTCAGCCTCACCACGAGCCTTTACAACTCTGCTTCATATTTTAACGTATTATGCAGAGTCTCCGCTCGAGACTGCTTCACAAAGCCGGAGAGGCCAGATCAATTCCCGATCAGACCCACGTGCAGGGGTCTGCCTGCTGCGAGGTAAAGACAGGGGGAGCGCCGCGAGCCGACCCGGTTCCTAAAGATGTGGATAAAATCAGCGAAGACCAGACGTATAGAAACACCGTAGACGTCAGAGATAGGTGCTGAAAAGCCGGGTGAGGGAAACGTGAAGCTATTGCACATATGTCTTTGAAAAAACATGCTTCTGTAGCCTTCGGCAAGGAGGGGGGGGAAGGTGATCAGTGCAGCCCCCAAAGGCACCTCCTCCAAGCGCTTTGTCTGTCTGGGTTGTGGGTCAAAAACAAGCAGGTTGGTTCTGAAGACCAAATGTTAATGTCTTCCGTGGGGAGTGGGACTGGGGTGGGGTGGGGTGCTCTGTTTAAATTAAGAGATTAACATTTTTTTCTCATTAAGGAGTATTTCCTTCTTACTTAAATTACCTAACAAATCTGCTGGGAACTGTACCTAGATGACCCTGCCTAGGAATAAAACATGTCCTCAGTTCAGCTGGTTGGCTGGGGATTTTGCCACAGAAAGCCACTGAGCTAGGAACAGGCCATCTATTTTGGTTGCATCTTTACCACCCGGAAACTGCAGTGTCCTTAACCGAGGGGCCGGGGGGAGAACAAAGTTTACATGTCTTTGCAAATAGCTTTGCTAAGCAGGCAGGGCTGAGAAAAGAGTGAACTCGTCTGGCCACTGTGTCATCGTCCACCGATGCTAATTTCCTGTGTCTGTTCTGCCTAACGTTGCCACCTTTCTACGCTTCAAGAAAAGAGAAGGAAAAAAAAGTTGTGGCCTGGAAAATCTTGAAAGTATTCAGTGACCACATACATTTGCTTCATCTGCCTTAGGGAGATAAGCAACATAGACGAAGGGAAAAGAAATTACTTATTATATGGGTTATGAAAACTGGAAGACAAATGACCTGCAGCAAACCGTACGCTGGTTTGCTTGAACCGATGTATGAAAAGTTTTCAGGCCTGTGGGCAGTGTCTAATGTTTATTCCACAGCTGAAAGTGATTTGCAAGTTAGCATATTACAATCACAGCAACTAAAACTGTTATTCCTCCGGCGTCTCTCAGCCAATCCTAATTCTTATCACTTCACTTACAGGAAGAAAAGGTGAGCAAGTCTTGTATCTGTACAGGAAGAACTCTAGATAGACTTGTGATCAAAATGGATGATGATAGACGTTGTAGATATGAGTCATAAACATCTTGGGAAATACTACAGACATCCCTGTTGTACAATGGCCACCACCTCCCTCAAGATGTTAGGCCGGTCCCCTGGGCCCCTGGGAGCTGGCCTGCGCCTCTGCCTTGTGACACCAAACCAAGGTCTTGTTTTTAATGCTATTAAGAAGCTGTGCCCAAGGCTTTGGCCTTGTTATCTCCCTTAACGATGTTATTTTGTTAGGCTGAAAAATAAACAGCATGGGGTTAAATGTATTAGCTGCCTTCAAACGTAATTTATCTTCATTCCATCCTAATTTACACTCTGTCTGAATTAATGAGAATGATTTAATTAACACCGTGTGACCATAGTACCGGGGACAGGACAGCTCAGGGGATTAGACCGAACAGTGGCTCAGCAGCTGCCATCCTGCCTCCTGTGGTTCCCCGCACCCGAAGCCCCACCCGCATTTCAGACACATTCCCTGCCAGTCTTCCCAAAGTGTCCGTTTGTTCTTTGCTCGTCTTCCTGAATGTGTGACGAAGATGGCTCAGCTTTCCTTCCTCCTGTGATTTGCGAAATGGGCCTCAAGACTGTGGCCTGTAGTCAGTGTGGCCGAGAGCCTAACAGCCTGACAAAGACTTGTGCTCTTCCTCTCCTAGTGTCAAATTCGTGCTGCAAGTGGATACCCAGCCAGGGACGACACGCCTCACCTTCCACCCCGCCCCCCAGCCCGCCGTGGCGCACACGCGCGCATGCGTGCTTACATCTTGGCCGCAACACCTGTGGAAGGAAAGGGAGGGAAGCAGAATGGGCAGGGGAAGAAGTTGAGCTGGCGTGCGCCCTCAGTCAAGGCCTTGGTCGACCCCAGGTGGAGCTCAAGAGCGGAAATGACCCCGCGGAGTTGTCCTCAGGTAAGGCGAGAAGGCCAGACTTTAGAGGGCTGCTGCATTACCAGTTGCTGAATGCAGGCTGCCCAGGAAGGGGGCCACGGCCACGGTCGTGTTCCTCAGAGGCAGTTCTGAGGAGGGCAGAGAGCTGTGTGCCTTCTGCTGCCAGCACCCCCAGGGGCCAGGCAAGAAGTCCTTCATTCTCCAAGGAGATTCTGACGCGCTCAGTGCAATGCCCGCTTTGACCCTTCACCCTAACACAGAGATATAAACGTAGGAAAATGAGGCCTCTGTTCCGCCAGCAATCCTCTTTCAAAAAGAGGGAGATTTTTTTTTTTTACTCTGGCTGTTTATTAAAAAGACAAGGATAAGAAAAAAGTAAGGTAATCAATACAAGAAGTCATCAGCATTGTCTAAGTCAGTTATTTGTCTCTCTGGGCACAAACAAGAGGTCTAAACTGGTAGTTGTCTAAATTTTGGTTTACCACCTGCTGCATTTATGTCTTTTTAACTGTATTTGTGTTAAACACGTCATGATAAGCTTTGAGAGTATTCTTAGAATTGGATCCAAATTGGCATGGTCATTTTTTTTTTTTTTTTTTTTTTTTGGCGGTACGCGGGCCTCTCACTGCTGTGGCCTCTCCCGTTGCGGAGCACAGGCTCCGGACGTGTAGGCCCAGCGGCCATGGCTCATGGGCCCAGCCGCTCCGTGGCACGTGGGATCTTCCCGGACCGGGGCACGAACCCGTGTCCCCTGCATCGGCAGGCGGACTTTCAACCACTGGGCCACCAGGGAAGCCCGGCATGGTAATATTTTAAAATTTTAGTTGCTTCCTAAATCCATTATATGTGCTACCACTTTATGTGTATTTTGTGAATTAAGTTGGATTATAGTGTGACTTTTTAATTTCCAATTCTAACTGCTCATTGCTGATATATAGGAATACAGGGGACTTTTGTATAATGATGTTTAATGGAAAGTTTTCTGTGACAGTGTATTTGTGTCCTTTCAGTGCTGAGCACTACCATCGGGCTGAACTCCTTTATTCGGGGTTAGAGCTGGGGAATTCATTCTTCCTTTGAGACTCTGTCACTTTCCACACCCCCAAGTGACATTGCAAGTGGTAGATAGTTTATTGGCTGCTTACAGGACTGCAGAGGGACGCATTTGAGGCACTTTTCCTTGGTATTCCTCGCTAAGGTCCAGTCATTAGTAAATCAAACCATTTAGGATGCTTCTGCTATTTCTATTGCAGGGCCCTTCAAAACAATGATCTTCACAGCCTGTGGCTGGTTATATATTTTAGGGTCAGGCTTTTAAAACTGCATTTATTATTTTCTCTCTGATCACAAAAGCACTGCATGGTAGAAGGTTGGAAAAAAA